AAACTAATCGAGGATACTGTGCAGTTGGGATTTCATCAGGGGGAGTGGGGCGGCGTTGATGACGTTTAGCTCTATGGGGCAGAGATCACTTGTTTAGGGCCGTCCTCTGTTGGCGATTCCATCGCTTTGTTGGGGCGAAGCATGAAGAGATNNGTTGTCAAAATTATGGCCCCTTTTTGGGTCCGTAATATAATACGGCACCTAATATTTAGGGTACCCAAAAAGGGACCCTAATTTTGACAACCACCCACTTGTTTATGGCCGTGCTTAGTTGGCGGTTCCATCGGTTTGTTGGGGCGAAGCATGAAGAGATCCGGGACGGACTAAGTTTAGGGCCTTAATAATTGCAATGGGGTCTTGGTGTATAGTATAATACTATATTATAATAAGGAACCCTAAGGTATGTTCTTAGTAACCCTAAACCCTAAACCCCTTCAAGCCCCACCAGGCGTCGATGTTCTGTTTTGCAGGTTCCTAGGGGCATCAACGGCCGCCTGGTTTAGGATCCTGAGGCCTATGGAGCGTTATGCCCATATGGGCCGCGGAAGCGGACATGCGGCAGCTGACTGGCATAGCGTTTTTTTTTCACCCACGAAAGGCAGGCACATCGGCGATGTTTCGGCTTTGGCCTTGTCGGGGAAGGCTTCGGCAGGCAAATCCTGGAAAACAAGCACGACACGCACACGTGGCAAAACCGGGCTTCATAGTTTGTGTTTTGGAAGAGGCGAGGGCCTCAGGGGCTGCTGCACCTGGCTGTTGAAGGGGACACGCGGCGGCCTCTCATGAGCCACGACATGCCACGACCAGCAGCTGACTGGCATAGCGTTTGACACACGAATGCCAGGCACATCTGCCAGGTTTCGGGTTCTGGCCTCGTAGGGTTTAGGATTTAGGGTTTAGGGTTCTTGGTGTTTCTTGAGCCCCGGTTTAGGGTTTAGGGTTCTGGGTTCAGGAGGGTCTAGGGTTTAGGGTTATCGAAGTGTAGGTAAGATAATGGCCCAAGACCTATATAGGCTCAGGTTGGGCTTTTGTAGTACAAGTTTACGGCTTCGGGTCTTAGGGTGTAGGGTTTTAGGGTTCAGGGTTTAGGGCTTTACACCCCAAGCCCAAGCCCCAAACCCAAACCCCTGCTATTGCACTGGCCAAGCCCTCAATCGGGGACTGAGTTTTGGTGCTGTTCACCCGAAGGAAGTATATGATGGGTGGTTCTCTAAACTAGTGTCTTTTTTTTAGGTCCCCCAAATAGTACGGCACCCTCCTAAACCCTAAAGCCGGGCTCAGGAAACACCAAGAACCCTAAACCCTAAATCCTAAACCCTAAACCCTCCAGCCTCAGGATATGTCACTTCAGTTCGAGGCAGCCTGCGCCCGAGTGCTTGCGTGCTGGGCTGGGGGCTCAGGGGCTTCAAGGCTTCGGGTTCAGGCCGAAACGCTTTCGGGATGAGGGATCGGCTTCTTTGTTTTAGGGTTTAGGGTTCAGGGTTTAGGGTTTAGGATTTAGGGTCAGGGTTTAGGGTTTAGGATTCAGAGTTTAAGGCTTTCGGGCTTCTTAGCTGGACCCCTACACCCAAAAGCTGTAAGCTCACGAAGTCCCTGAAGACAGCTCTTGCTACCTTCCTCATTAACCCCATAGGTAGACTCCCATGATCCTCTATACGTAGAGGCCCCAAGTACTTGAAGAGCTTCGGGAGTTTTCGGGTGTAGACATCCAAGCTTCGGCTTGCTTTCGAGACCGGTGACCGGGCAACTTTGGTACCCATAAAGGCCCCAAAGTCCTTAATAATGAGCACTTAGACCCTTCGCCCCCAATCCCTCCAATCGGTGCTGCTTACGAACGGAGAACGGCGACGACCCGACAAGCCAGGGTTGAGGATGTTCGATGTACGGTCTTTACACAGGGCCTGTGCCTGGGCCTTACACAAACCCTCCCATGTAAGACCCTAAACCCTAAACTCCCAAGGTTCCAAAACCCTAAACCCCAAAGGTTCCTAGACCCTAAACCCCAAAGGTTCCTGGCGTACTTTTGACAAGCTAGCTTCCCTTTTGGGCTGTCGAGTCCTCTCCGGGGCTCCGGAGATTCCTTCTTGGGATGTGCCCTTCCCTTCTCTTCGGTCTAAACGCTGGAGACTCCCGAAGAACGTCAGTTAAACCCTAAACCCTAAAAATCTTGGTCTCGGGCTTCTGCCAAAGCATGGCATCCGCCCAAGCCATGGTTGTCATCAGCTTCGTGTAGAGGCTGTGTCCTGAGCATTAAACTGGTCAGACCGGACCCCTACACCCTGAGCACCAAAACTTAAACCACAAGCCCTGAACCCAAACCCTCAACATTACACATGAATCTTAAACCGAAGGCCACGGGGAGTGTTTGGGAATCTTTGCACAAAGCCTGCACGAGCAGCAGTAGGAGCATCAGGAGCAGCAGCAGCAGCAGCAGCCGCCGCAGCTGTAGCAGCAGCAGAAGCAGCCGCCGTAAGAAAAACAAGTAATAGTGAGTAGGATTGTTCAGGGTGGCTCTGGAATTGCAAGACGGCTTTACGAAAATGCGAGCAGTGATAATCATGTAATGGGTCTGGGGTATATCATAGCATAGCTATACAGGTAGTATCCTCAGGAATGCGATGCCTAATTGTTCGAAACTGAATGCTGAAATGAGAAACCTTAAACCCTAAACCCTAAACCCTGAACCCCATTACAAACCCTGAGCCCTGAACCTGAACCCTATACCCTGAACCCTGCACCCTAAACCCTGAACCCCAAACCCTATACCCCGAACCACAAACCAACAACAATAAAACCCCCCAAATGAGATCCCTTGAAGTCTTCCCGCAAGGAAGGCCTTATAGCAGTTCTCCCTCACAGGGACCCCATAGATCCGCAGCCCTAAACTCTGAAAACCCTAAACCCTGAAACCCGAAGCCCCAAGCCATGAATCCTTATAGTGGGATCCTAGATCCCAAACTAAAAACCCTAAAACCCTGAACCCTAAAACCCAAAGCCCTGAACTGAGTCCGGAACCATGAGCTCGGAGGGGTAGCTCCTGCGCGAAGCTCAGGGACGGTTGGGCTTTAGGGTGTTTTATTGAATCCCTTCTTTCCCCAGCAGAAGTCTACCCTGAAAGGCTCAAGGGCTTTAGGTTTAGGGACGAGGGATTCGGGTTTAGGCTTTGGGGGCAGGTTACGAGGTTTAGGGCTTAGGGTTACGATAAGGGTTCTATAAAGGGGTCTAGAAGGGCTCAACAAAGGGTTCCATAAGGGTAACTATAAGGATTCTATGAGGGATCCATAATGGATCTCTCGTGTTTGCAGGGCTACAAGGGTCAGGATTTTTGGGGCGCAAGTTCAGGTTCGCAGGGTTGGTATGTAGGGATTCCGTTGAAGAGAGTTTAGATTTGAGATACTTCTGGGCTTAGGCTTCTTAAGGTTTCTGATGTGGCCTCTGCGAGGTTTTTTTATGGGTGTATTATGAGGGATTAAGCAAGGGTTTCAGATTCAGGGCTCAGCATCGTAAACTCTGACTGAACATGAAGTCGGAAATCCCTTATCGTGTTGAGCTAGTAGGGGGCTTGCGTGTAAGGCAAGAAAGCCCACCTTTTTGAGGGTTCCTTGCTATGGACTCCTTATGTATCCCTTTGAGTATACAGGTTTTTTGGGCTGCAGGCAGGCTGAAAGGAGCAAGCCCTACAAAAACCCTAAACCAGCCCAAACCCCAACCCTTAACCCTTAACTCTAAACCCTACACTCTAAACCCTAAACCCTAGACCCCAAACTCGTAGCCGCAAACCTTCTCCGGGTCTCCGGGTCAGGGTTCAAGCTGAACCCCTCATCTTTCGCAAACCTTCGTGGACATCCCGAGTGTTTTGCTGCCCTTCTCTCTCTTCGAGCCATCCCCATCCGTCAAGAGACACGTGGCCCGGTGTTAGACAAAACCGCGGTAGAGCCAGCTGCTCCCGCGTCCTGCAGATCAGAGGCGCGACCCGTTCCCCTCATCGGGCCGGCAGGGAATGTTATTGGCTAGGCCATAGAGCATGCCAGTGGCGAGCTTGTGCGCCGGCAACCCGACGAAGTTCACCATCTGGTTGGGAGAGTATGAGGTGCATGCCACTGCAGAATGTTTCCAGTATGTGCGGCTCGCGAGCAGGAGAACTTTGAGACAGGCCGGACACACTTTTTCGCGTTATTTCTCAACAGGATACTTGATTTACGCGGCTGATATGGTTCGCGAAATTTCAAGACTGGCCGGGGATTGTCGAATCGTAAAGGGCGCCAGGACCTAAGCATACGAGTTTTTGAGTCTAAGGTGTATACGGCCTAAGGTTTACCTTAAACCCAAAAGCTACTCTCTCAAGGACGTACAGCCGAAATCGTAACAAGGAGCCGGAAACAACAACATGCTTTCGAACAGCGATTCCCAAGGAAAACCAAGAGGCCAACCGATCAACCAGCAGAACCCATGCTCAACCCTTCCCCCTTCGCCGCTCCATTCGGTATGCCACATGACCTCGTACTTGGGCGAAGTGCTCCCTCCCCTCTCCATATTTTTCTCTTGCTCTCTGTGCGGAGTTTTAGGGGTTTGTGTAATTCGGCGGGAGTTTTTATAAAGGTACAATCGTGCTTTAATGGATAGCAATTATTTCTAAGGATATGTGTTTGATGCCATGGATTCACTTAACCTGAACCTGTATCAATCCTGGCCCCCGAACCAAGCCCATTGATACGATAGTGGGTTTTGGGGTGTGGGCAGAACCCGCAATAGACTAGGCCACCCAGAGGAGCCAAACCCTGAAACCCAATCCGCAGGAGCTCTCACTCAACCCATATTAAACCTAGAACCCCTAAGCATTCCGGCAACGGTATCCTTAGAGGAGCCTCTACTGCGAAATCGAGCAGTTTCGGGCTTTCGTGGGATTCCGGCAATTTCAGAGGCTTTTTCTGGCCGTTTATGATTTGTGCTTTATGGCCTAGGGGGAATTTCCTGTCCAACAGCAGCAGGAAGGTATTGCAAAATCGAGAAATCGAGCTTTCTCCTTTCTGGCACAAAACCGTAACTCAAACCCGCAACCACACCACTGGGGCTCAGCCTGCGACAGAAGGCGGGGCCGACATCCCTGTTCTGAGTAGCTCAAGCTTTTAGTGGGTACCTTATCCACAGCAAACTGTAGCTGCGGGATCCCTGAACCCCAAATCCCATACCTTGAACCAAATAAGATAAACCCCGTTTGAATCACTTATCATACCAAGTCGAAACAAGACTTCTTCTATGTCCACGGATCTTTCAAGCATCAAGCAGGGTTCAAGGCTTCGGGGTGAAGATTGAACACAGAGATTGGAAGTCCCCTAGTAGGATGGTGGCATGTCCCAATCACTACTATCTCAATAGCTGTATTCATGTTGTGCATATTGCGCACCCCTGGGAGGTCTCAGCCGAACGCCCAAGAGCCTCAGCCTGACACCATGTAACGTAAATGAACTCATGTACTTTTCCTTATAGGTCCTTCGAAAGAACCCGTACAGGAATCCCAAAGCCTAAATGCAGCGCAGTTGCGATACTCCAGACTGGCTTTGCGGTCGCAAATTTCCTGCACGCTTGGATGGAGGGCGAGGTCATGGACCAGCCGGATCTCCTGGCAGGCTGTAGGGTTCCTTTACGGGTTTGCTTAATTTAAGGTTCCTGTAAGTGGTCTATATGGATACTATAGGGTTCAGGGTTGAGGGTATGGGCGGTCTTTGGGTGTAGGGCTTATATGTTTTCCGGAATGACAATCGACCACAAACAAATCATCACGACAAAAGCCTGACGCCTGACACCTGTTAGACAGAGGTTTTGTGCGCATGCTGAGATGTTTATATACATGGCAGCGACAATGGGATAATATGACGTATTATGCAGACCCTCCAGCATCGCGAACGCTACCGACTGTTTCTGCGACCCCCCACAAAATAAGGCTAAGGACAACACCATCTTTTCGGTCTGCCGCACAACGGGCCTGCTAACCATTCCCGAAGCAAATCCGCAACACTTAAACCTCAAGCCGTCTCGCAGTTCCTCGGCATTCAAGAGGCCGGCCGCGACGATGAAGCCTTGCGGAAAGCTGGTCAAACCAGACCGGTTCGAGGAAGAGGATTGAAGTTGCAAGGCTGCGGGGCTTCGATTTGAGTTTAAGGCCAAAGGGTTTGGTCGGTTGGTTCCAAGTTCACATAAGGGATAGGGTTTAGAGGTCCAGGTTGGTTTAGGAAACCAAGGGTCAGGTTCTACATAGGCTCGGACTTTTAAACCCTAAACCCTAAACGACCTAGTATGGTACGCTGGCATGCATGGCGAGGGCGCCACAAAATCCGATATGACAGTATCAAATACCGGAAAAACAATTCAATCAGACACAGCACGCCCCACCAACCAAGCATCGCGCACGAACAACTTTTTTCCAAAATGCACTCAGGGTGCGACTGTCACCTACGGATCCCTTGTGCACGCAGCTTCGATCTTCGAGCTACAATGAAAATGGTCTGCTGCTGCTTGGCCTTTTCGATGCGGAGGGCCGGTTGAGAGCTCTGCCTTTTTCGCGATTAAACGGTAGCCATGCCTTAGGTACCTTCTCATGCATGATGCACACCACCGCTGCCGTTCTTCTTCAGACATCTTCAGACAATGCTGATTAGCAGTTGCGAGCAGAAGTCTGCTGTTGGTTTGGCTGATGGTTGATACTTGCATTGCAAGCGAATGAGGCAGAGCTTTGCTCAATGTCAATATCAGCAGCTTCAAGTGCAGAGTGCTCTTATGAATCTGCTGAATTTGTAAGAACCATGACTTACTTTCAGCGTGCAAGGCTTCATTGGATGAAGCGCAGGCCGGAAGGAACGTCAAGGCTTTCGACCCTTTAAATTTGATGCAGCACCTAAACCAGTACGAAGGTGAACACGTACTCGCGCCAACATAAGCTGTAAAGCTAAGGCCGTGACTCAGCGTTTGCCTAAGAAGCTGGTTGTTGCTACCATTCAACACCATCAGGATCAGCAGCACGCCAGAGTATGTGGGAGATGGAGATGCTTGATTGGCTCCGGATACCTTGCGATCGATGTCCTCGTTGAGCCAACGCTTCATTGAGCTCCAGTCTGCAAAGAACGGGTTTAGAGCTGTCCGTCTCCGCTACGATTTTACGGCCTTTGCCTTTGGCAACTGCACCGGTTTCAAAGTAGGCTCTGCACGTCTGTTTCTGCTGGCTAAGTTGACGGCTATGATCGCCTCGTAGAAATGACCCCAGTGCTGCGAAGGAAGACTTGAACCCACCCTGTTGAATTTCTGCATGATTTTGCAGGGGAGCAGAGCTCCCGGTGTTTTTTGTTCCGCAGCGTCGCGCACCTGAGCACATGTGGGGGTCTACCCAAACTTGCAAGCTTGATTGCGACATCTACTACCTCAGTTTTATAGGACTTTAAAGTCGACTCTAGCTGCTCGTACGATACAGAGATGGATAGGGTCAAGTGCAAGACATTGTAGATTGGGCATAAAGCACTCGGCATAAAGCTTGATCGAGGGCGCAGTCCGATGACAGGAACAACAATTGACCAAGCACATCTGCCGGAAGCATTTCCGAAAGGGCCATATGCAGACATCCTCAGTCTTTTCTGATGCCATTGCATGCCAAGCGCGGCACCTGTACGCCCTCTGACCGTGAGAATCCGCCTGAACGCATGGTCGTCGGCGAATGGGGCCGGATCTCTTTGTGCTTTAGGTGCACGGTAGGATAGTTGCCCAAGAACTCCCATGCAACATTTTATGGCTGTATCGACAGAGATAACTTGAGACTCCCTCAAGTCGGGGAAGGTGGTCAGCAGCTTGACAGTCAGAGAAGCGACTGCCGGCGACGTAAAGGCTTCTTCGATGATTGGCCACCAGTGCCGGACATCCAACACAAAGAACATGTTTTGTTGTTGCTAAACTTGGCCAGCTGCCGTGCTGCAGTCTTGCACTTCGCATGGCATAGCAGAAGCTCCTGGTAAACAAGGTCCGCAAACTCACAGGTTTAGTATAGATTCCTGACTCGCCGAACGTCGGAACTTTGCAGAGACGATCGTGCCCCGTCCTCAGGTCCTCGACCTGTCAGCACCAAACGGATTTCGCGATCAATCTCATGACTGTGTGAGACAACGGTGGAGCGACCATGGTTCTCAGCAGCTCAGCGCTTCTAGCCAAAGAGTTCCCTGCCAACCACATCCCTGGATCTGGTAGTGATGGAACAAGGCACAACAAACCTTCAACTGCTTCGTGCCACTGCAGATAGACTGGCGTGCTTCGCTTGATATTTGCGAATGTGCTCCTGTACTTTGGACGGTGCTTGGAACCTCCTGAAAAAACACAGCGGGCAGCGATGTACTTTGCGTTCTACTGTCCTTGCACACCGCTCGGCCTGTTGCCGAAGATGCGTTAGCAAAGAGTCACCAACGCTGACGACGGCTTCTTCCTCTCCTCCGGCTCCATCACTGCACATTCATCTTCAGAACAAGGATCAGGACCTATATGCATGCGCAGCAAACGTCCTGGAGACATTCTGACCATTCCTCCTGCAGCTCGCCGGCACCTGCGTGCAAAACGAGCAGAACATAGCAAGCAGGTGCCTCTGCAGCGGATATCGGGTTCAGGTTGAGCACCTCCAAAGATGTGGAAGTTAGGTTGCAAGGGTACTGGAATCAAGCGCTACTGCGCCGAACTGAATCAACTCAGACTTGCACATCCTGGTCTTGCACACACCGTCCCAAATCTCGACCAAACCATTGTCTCGGATTTGACAGCCGAGGCAATGAGGGTTTTCTTCACGCTCTCTAGCATTAAACCGTACCATGGCGCGACTTGTATGGAAAATTCATTCAGCACGAAGCTGTAGCATCGGGAACCAGCCCTTCTTGCAGCAGCACCTTTTTGAGCAACTTCAAGTCTCTTACATGTATATATATAGAAAAATATATATACACACACACGATATACACCCTATATGTACCCTTACGGGTCCCCAGAAAATCTCCTTATATAAAAGGCCCAAGGGCCCATGTTAGGGGCCCAGACTTCTAAGTTTAGAAAGGTTTACGGCTCTGCGGCTTTCGGGACCCATAGCGATAGCAATCGCTGGGAACTAAGTTTTGGGTCTTAAGGCTTACTTAATTCCAAGCGGGTGCTAGGTATCTATATGGTGCATACTCACCCACACCGTTTGGCATAATGACACTTCTTGCTGGAGAAACCCTACTTCCTACGATGTAGGCACTTAGGACTCTTTTGGATTATACGATGCGAATGACTTCCAGCAGTAATTAAACAGATGCGAGGATTTACAGCACTTTCGGGACAATCCTCCTCAAACATCCCCTCCCTTTTGCACCTATCTTGAAGTAGGTGGTTTCAGTTGCAAGAGCATGAGCACGAGCACAAGCAACAGCAGGAGAAGCAAAAGCTACGGCACGAGCCCAAAAATGACAGTAAAGACAAACCACGACCTAGTAATAAAGCACATGTGTGTTTTTGTATTGTGTAGGCGGGTGGCATTTGACATTAGGGGATAAGGTCATTAGCTCGTACAGCGTACCATATAGTAATAGTCTCTTGTAGTCCCGACAAAGTCAAACAATGACCCCCCCCTCCTTGATTGAATTATTGAAGCCCCTATACTGAACACTCCTAGGAGACTGACATGAAGCCACATAACTGTAGATCTCCGAATGGACCTAGTTTGTAGAAACGGAAATCGACCTGAATCTGCTTAGAAAGACCTAGCTGACCTCGGTGCTGGGATACTGGAACTCGGGGATCCGCGGTGAGGGCTTATCATACGCGTAGTTCTGTAAATTAAGGCACCTTTGAGGGCCCTTTTGATAAGGGCGCAGCAGACTGTTGGGTTTCCAAAAAAAATCCTAAACTCAAAATCCCAAACCCTAGGACCCTAATTTGGAGAACTACCCACACCACTCCCGGACCCCCCTTAGAACATTTGAATTCTGAAGAGCTCTTGAAGGTTGCTTGAGGCTACGTACCTGAGGACAGCATCGACCGCCATGTACCTTTAGAGGTTCCTTAAAAAGGGCACCACAAGGGTCTATCACGGTGCCAATAAGGGTTTAGGCGGTTTAGGGTTTAAAGGTCCATGCGCGCATGTAGGATGTACTTGGGCCATAACGTGCCCTAAATAAGGACAGCATTAAGCCCGACCTACATGTTGATACGAATACATGGACCCTTACCGAGGACTCAAACTTCCTCATCACGAGTCTTCACAATCGTAAACAGGTTGGCCGCTCTCCAGGGAACTGGTTAGGGACGCTGAGGTTGGACTGGCCGCCCTGCTGGGGGCTCTGCCACATGCCTCCGGCTCTGCCTCAACCCGCTGGTCCCTGCTGGCTCTGCCATAACCTGTGCTGCCGCAACCAATGGTACGGGACGCTGGGGTCCGGCCAGGCCCCTGGTATGGGAAACTGAAACGCCAGCTGTCCTGGAACTCTGCCACAACGTGCTCGCACCCGGCCCGTTCCCCGGTACGGCCCCGAAATCCTAGATGGCCTGGCCCGCCAGTTTGGGGTGGGTAAGCCTGCTGCAGGCCGACGCGCGCCCGCAAAGCGCTTTCGTTTGGCACACCCTAAACAAACCCCACACCTGCATTTCGGAGCTTAAATCTGGCACGGCCCAGCATCCCGTTCGTTGCAGCAGCCCCAGCAGGGGCAGCCAGCAGCCCTAGCAATGCAGAGCTCGGAGGGTACTAGCGGCAGAGTCGCAGCAGGGGCGGCCAGCCCAAAAACCACCAATGTCCCGTTTGCAGCTTTGGCCTGCATTGTGTGTTCGAAGGATATTTTCGACAGGGGCCAAGGTTGACTGGGCCTAAGCATGCCTTCAGGGGTAGGCAAGCCTGGAGGCCGACTCGGTCGCCCGCCTGGACCTCCCTCGCAGGGTCTCGCTGATCGCTCGACCAGCCCCGCCCACCCCCAAAAAAAAAGAGTGAGGCGGGCTTAAGGCGTAAACCCAGACCAGTAAAAGCCTTGACGAGCCCTTATAGTTTCGTCTACCATTAAACAGGTTCAGATCAAACAGACTGCAAACC